CAGGAACTTGTCATTGGTATAAGTGTGTGTACAGTTCTATGTCATTTTATCACATTCGCATTCATGTGTTTCACTACTATTTGTAAGGTTACATTCATGTAACCATTACCACACACACAACATACACAAGTGGTCCACCACAAAAACCTCTCCCTCCAGCCACTCCCATGTAGTTACACCTACGTGGCCCCCATCCCTACCTCTTGGCAACCACCCATTTGTTCTCCAACTCTATAATAATTTTGTCATTCTGAGCATGTAACGTAAGTGGAGAAGTGCAGCCAGAATCCTCCTCGGAAGTGAGAACGGCCAGACTTCGTCTCACCTACTTTGGTCATGTGGTCAGAAGGGACCATTCCCTGGAGAAGGATGTCACGCTTGGTAAAGTGGAGGGTCAGTGAAAGAGGAGAAGGCCCTCAATGAGATGGACTGACACAGTGGCTGCAATGATGGGCTCAAGCACAGCAAGGATTGTGAGGATGGCACACACGGGGCAGTGTTCCGTTCTGTTGTACCTGAGGTCGCTATGAGTCAGACCCAACTCAATGCCACCTAACAACAACAACACAGTGGAATCCTATGGAACATGATCTTTTGAGGCTGCCTTTTTTTTCATTCAGCATAATGCCTTTGAGATCCAGCCAAGTTGTTGTGTGTATCAAGAGTTGATGCTTTTTTATTGTTGGCTAGGAATCTCTGGGCGGTGCAAATGGTTAATGCACTCAGCTGCCAACCGAAAGGTCAGGGGTTCAAATACATCCAGAGTCTCCAAAACAAAACTACTTGGTGGTCTACTTCCAAAAAACAAAACAAAACAAAACAAAAAAAACATGAGGTTGCCATGAGTTAGAATTAACTCAAAGGCAATTTGTTTTTAGGATTCAATGGTATGGGTCATTCTTTTTCCTCTTTTTCAAATTTTCTACCGAATGTGTGATATTTTAATCATCAGGAAAGAGATAAAATATTGCCAGAGGGAGGAGGCCACAGCACAGAGAAGCAGATCTTGTCTTCAAGGGAATTTTGTGTTGGGTTAAATAATAGAATTTTAGGGTTAGAGTACCCTTGGCAGTCACCTGGGCAAGTTCTCCTCCATATCGAAGGAATCCTCCTTGTCATATCCTGACAGGTAGTTGTGCAGCCTCTGTGTGGACACTTCCAGTGACAGGAAACTCCCTACCATACAAAGCAGCTTATTGAATAGATACGAACTGTGCCCCTCTTCCTGAAGTGGGGTATGGGTATTTCCACCCTGCCCAGAGCCTCTCCATGTGAATGAGACTGAGAAGAGCCTGCAAAAGCCTGAGCAAGCTCTTGGATGCACAAGACCCAGAACTGGCCTCTCCAGGGAGACTTCAGCGCTCGCTGGCTTAGAAAAATGAGGGGCAGCAGACCTTTAAAAATGGAATGAAATTCTGCAAGAACGCACACACAGATACTCATAGTCTCCAAGGCGCAGTCTCCTTCCTGCAGGATGAGAGTGCCCCAGAAGGCACCGAACCATGCCTTCAGAGGAGGGTTCAGGTCCTTTCCCACCTGCAGTCATTTCCATTCAAATCTTCCTTTTCCTCCAGCACCCACGCTGATCTGTCTATGGTTCTGATTGTCAGTGACATTCACTTGGGGGCAAGACGTGGACTCTTCCATTGGTCAGTAACATTTATTGAACACTTACTACATGCCAAGGAGCCCTGGTGGGTGCTAGGCTGCTAACCAGTGGCTTCGTG